CCACAGCACTAGACAAACTGGGTGTAGAATCAGGGTCAGTAATTTGGAGGAGGGTGGAGCGTAGGGTTGGAACACAGTGATGTGGTAATGAATTGCTGGGTTATTAGTTCACACTGAAATTTTTAAAACAAAAGGACAGGAAGCAAAGTACCATTGCTGAGATGATGACAGCCTGGTTCCCAGCGAGACCTCTTCCAGGTGTAGTTAGAAGACCTTTAAACAAAAGTCATAAGGCTTACTGATATCTGCTCTGCTTTCACCCTGTGCTGGCTTCACTCTGATAATCCATGTTCTTGTTCAGGTCAAAGACTGCAATACACACATGCAAGGACACCACCGCATGCACACACACATGCATGCCCACACGCACGCAAATAATTTTGCTAAGAGGTATTGCATCTCTTCAAGGAGCCTGAGCCGGGAGTTCTAGGCTGTGAGGAAGAACAAGCCAAGAGGGAAATGCTAAAATCTTAGCTTTCTCCTGCTTTTGATTCAAGTTTTAAACAAAAGCAAGTCATTGCTCCTTTGCTGTTTCCATACGTACCTATCTTGAGCGAGTCTTTTCTTGGCTAACTTGAAGTCCTGCCTTAAGTGAATGATGCGGCCACCTGGCACGTCAGGGGCACTGTCTTCTGCTGAGATGCAGAAAGGAAAATGAGAGTCCGTATCGTCTTCTGCTTCAGAAGTGACTGCAGAGGGAGCATGACAAGTAGCTGCCTTGCAGTTCTTGGGGAGCAGACGAGGTTTTTAGAAAGGCCTTCCACAGCTCACAGTGTGCAGATTTTCAGGGGATCCATTGTAAAAGGGGGCAGGCCCAGGGGCTGATAGAACCCACTGCAGAGCCCTTTGCAGTACCCAGGCAGCTTGGACTCTTAGTGAAGCACATTCATCGGTCTGGTCCTTTAAACCTCTAACTCACCAGCACGTCAGTACTAAACTTGCTTTATAATTGCCCTCACCCATTGTGTTTCTATACAGCTTTAACTGCAATAATTTCTTAAGCTTCTTGAAGGTCACGCTTGCAAAGCTTGTAAAAACTCTTATGGTTGACCCTGCAGGGGATCCCAGTGCCTTAGAGTCACAGATCCGACAACTGGGCAAAGCCTTGGACGACAGCCGCCTTCGGATGCAGCAAACAGAAGATATCATCCGCAGCAAAACTCCCACAGGACCAGAGCTGGACGCCAGCTACCGCGGCTACGTGAGTATCCTGACCTCCGGGATGCGGACAGGTACCTGGAAGTCACAGTTGTGTGACAGAGAACAATTTGTCTGGGGCACGAAGGCTTTATGAGCTCTCCAAACACCACGCTGCCCTTGAACTCAGGCGTGGGTGTGCAAAACAAAGCCCTGTTAGCAGCAGGTTACCTGTCGCGTCTAGCTGGACCATGGCAGGCGCACTAACCTACTGCAATGGCCAGCCTGTTCCTTTACACAGAGAACTTAGTGAGATCCGTTTCATTGAAAGTAACAAAATGCTCTGGCTCCCGAAAGTGATTAGGCATTTTTCCAAATTCAGCTAATGGTGTTTGGACCATGGTGATCCTTGGAGCAACAGGTTTTAGCTAATAGATTACTAACAAAGCATTTTTTAAGTTCTTTTCTTGGGCTTATTGATTCACTGGATGGCCTTGGGAATGTGTTTGTCTTCTGTTTTTAGTATGTTCATTCTGGAGAAAACAATTCTAATGAGGAATTTGTGGGAAAGATAGCAAGAGAGTGTATATATTACCGCTCCTTTTTTTTAAAAAAGCTCTTAGGAAAGTATATAATGACTTTATTTGCTCTGTTCAAGTTACTGACCAAATAATTTTTCCCAGAAAACTACCTGTTTTTCTACACATATTCAAGCAAGGGAGTCTGAAAGGAAATCTCATCCATGCCTCAAACCTTCTTTTCCCACCCCAGAGACTGCCGGGTAAAAGGAAAGAAATATTTTTTGTTGTTGTTAATCCTCACCCGAGGATATTTTTTCCATTGATTTTTAGACAGAGTAGAAAGGAGGGGGAGAGACAGAGAGAAACATTGATGTGAGAGAGACACAATGATTGGTTGCTTCCCGACCAGGGCCAGGGATCGAGCCTGCAACTGAGATACATGCCTTTGACCTGAATCAAACCCTTCAATCTGTGGGCTGATGCTCTATCCCAGTGGTTCTCAACCTTCCTCATGCCGCGACCCTTTAATACAGTTCCTCATGTTGTGGTGACCCCCAATTTCATTGTTACAAATTGAACATAATTAAAGCATAGTGATTAATCACAAAAACAATATGTAATTATATATGTGTTTTTCCGATGGTCTTAGGCGACCCCTGTGAAAGGGTCGTTCGACTCCCACAGGGGTCGCGACCCACAGGTTGAGAACCGCTGCTCTATCCACTGAGCAAAACTGGCTAGGGCAGGAAAGAAATGGTAATTTTCCAAAGTCACACAGACTGCTTTTTGAAATCAGAGAAGAGAACCATTCTAGTTGCATATGCTGATGTTCACATCCCCACAATTACAGAAGAGGGACCAATCATGAGTTCACTTCCTGTCCAATCTGGCCTATCACACCAACTTCTATTAGAGTGAAACCTCTTTTTGCAAAATATAATACAGTTTCCTGAGGTCAGTGCTGACATCACTGAGATTATAGTCAACCTCAATCAAAAACAATCAAAGTCACTTAATAGCAGTGTGATTCGTTACCGGCTTTAAAAGGTGACTTTATGGTCAGTAGAGCAGGCATGCCTTGAAATGATGTGTTCCTTTAATCTTCGAATACCATGCTACTAAGCATGGAGTTGGAAGCTTCTCCTTTGATATTAGACTTTATTCCCTTAATACCTATTAAGCAATGGTTCCAGTTTCTCATGAAGCAGCTGGTTTTAATATTGCTTTATGCTTTTAAGTATTTTAATTACTTAATGCAAAAAAATGTTCCTTTGAGATTTGTGGTAATATTATTGTTTCCACTTTTCAGTTTAAGAAAGAGGGAGCAACTTGCCAGAAATTATGTAATGTAATACCAGCTCAGGGCTCCGAGTTTAAACCCAAGACGGGTTTAATCTGTCTTTGTTATTTTTTTTTTAATTTATTGATTTTAAAGAGAGAACGGGGAGGGAAGAAGCAAGGGAGGAAAGGAGAGAGAAACATGGGACTGCCGTTCCACTTCTATAAGCATTCATTGGTTGCTTCCTGTATGTGCCCTTACAGAGAGTCAAACCCACAACCTTGGCGTATCGAGAGAACGCTTCAATCAGCTGAGCTACCCGAGCAGGGCCTAGTCTGTCTTGATTTATAAACTTAATTTCAAAAATGTTTTGAGGTCTTCCCATGCAAAAGCACATATGCAAAGTATACCTTTGAGCCTTGCTTTATGTGTGTATGGAGGTGTCACATGTGTAAGAAGCATGCTTTTGAACTTGGCCTTGTTTAGCAGAGTGGCACAGCCGCTGTGCTTTCTGAGGAACCTCAAAGACATTTCCCCAGAAGCCCTTGCATGCGTGGGAATGTGAGAGCCTGGTGACGGGGCCTGTTTTCTGGGTCCAAACAGATGAAACTGCTGGCGGAGTGCAGCGGCAGCATCGACTCGGTGAGGAGGCTGGAGCACCAGCTGAAGGAGGAAGAGGAGAACTTCCCTGGCTTCGTGAACCTGAACAGCACTGAAGCCCAGACGGCCGGTGAGTGAGTGCCGCTCAGGGCAAGGCAGGGGCGTGGAAGGCTCAGAAGCACGTTGTTGCACGCCAGTGTCGCTGACCTCCGTCTACACATTTCCGTCCCGAGGACTTGTCTCCGTGTCCCAATGATCTCCTGTGACAGAGGGAGGTGAAATGCATCCGTGTCCCCTCCACTTCAGTGCACTGTCCCTACTGTCACTAGTCAGGCATTTTATTTTATTTTATTTTATATTTTAAACATTTTTGTGATGCCACAACCAGCATGGCTAGGGTTCTGGATCTGAAGAAGGGGCCGATGCACAAATGAAAACACTAGACAAGAAATATGAATTTAGAAATCATGGGGGAACCAGGTGGAAACTTCCCTGTAGTGGAGAAGCTCTCTGAAGCCCTGGACCTGTTAGTTTTTATTCAGTTTTTAGATACACATCTTCCCCTCAGTTAGGCACGGCAATTCAGTAGCAGACAGGCTATCTCAAAGGTTAGTAAATATCAGTAAAGATTTACTTTGAGACTATTAGGTCAGGAAATTGCTCCGAGCCACCACGATCTCGACAGAACAATTGGTGCATAGCTTTAGCCCTTGCAAAAGCTCAAGGTTCATCAGCCTTCCGAGTTCCTTGTTGCACTTTCATGATAGTGTTTGACAATGGATAGCTTCCCGCAATTGTTTTATTGATTTCAGAGAGGGAGAGAGAGAAAGAGAAACATCAATGATGAGAGAGAATCATTGATGGTCTGCCTCCTGCAGGCCCCCTACTAGGAATCGAGCCTGCAACCTGGGCATGTGCCCTGACCGGGAATCAAAATGTGATCTCCTGGCCCATAGGTCAATGCTCACCCACTGAGCCAGCCGCCCGGGCTAGTCAGGCATTTTGGATGTACACTCTCAGAGCTCTCTTGCAGAGAGACGTCAAGAATTGAATGTTCTCTTTGGGCACACTGCTGCTCATTACTTCATAAAGCTCTTTGCAGTGTTAAACCCCATGTAGCTCTTTTTATTTGTTTTTTTACTCCGTCACCATTAAAAATGCAGACCGGAAGAACAGCCGTGATGCTATTCTTTACAGCTGACGGAAACAGACATGCCCAGGGGATTCCTTTCTCTCTGTTGCTATTAAAGTCAGCCCAGTGCACGCTCCCAGCCTTCCCCAAAGCCGGCTCGTGGAGGAGAATGCCTGCCACTGTGTGCACGTCCTGTCTCGCAGGTGTGATTGACCGGTGGGAGCTCATCCAGGCGCAGGCCCTGAGCAAGGAGCTGCGGATGAAACAGAACCTCCAGAAGTGGCAGCAGTTCGGCTCCGACCTGAACAACATCTGGACCTGGCTGGGGGCGACGGAGGAGGAGCTGGAGCGGCTCCGGCGCCTGGAGCTCAGCACCGACATCCAGTCCATTGAGCTGCAAATAAAAAAGCTCAAGGTGAGCTGCCCTTGGCCTTTCCCAGAGCAGCCAGACAGGTGCGACCGTGGGAGGCCTGAGCAGGTGCGGCCACGAGCCTAGCTGTGTTGCTGTGATGCAGCAGCAGGGAAATTGTCAGCAGAAGGTCACAGGGACCTTCTGTGCTCTCCCACTCCTGCCCCCCGCCCCCCCCCTTCCCTAAGCAGAGCTTATAGAGAAGGTTTGGAAGGACAGGAAGATGGACCACGTTATGGAAATAGCCCCCATGTAAATAATCATGTATGATTTAATGAATTGGCGTTTTTAAATGATCAATTAAAATTTTGAACCACCCAGGTACCCTAGGACCTATTTCACCTCTTCTAAGGGAAATCGAGATATGAGATATTCCCACGGTCCTACAAGTCTCTACCTAAAGCTGGAGAGAAATCTTCTCCAAGACTTTGTGTGTGTGAGGGTGTGGAGACCTAATGAAATCATTTGACGTTCTGGGGTGAGCAGGACTTCTGGCATTTCCTGTCTGGGTGCAGGACCCAAGATCACTTCCTTTCACTCCATCTCCAGATCCTAGAAATCCTCCTCAGCCCGGCTACTGAAATGCATTGGTATTGCAGACTTCTGTAAGCGCGCTGTGGAGTGAGGGCCCAGTTCCGTTCTGATAGCTCTTTGGATCCTGTCCTTCTGCTTGGCGAGCACCGAGGTGTGCTCTTCTCAGGAGGGAGCGGCCCAGGCTCCCTGGGCTGGAGGATTAGGCGCGCCGCCTTTGTGCGCCTCTGGTGTCAGCACACGCTGTGGATCTGGAAGTGATGTGTTTATGGCTTGCTCTGGTGGTGGTTGTGTTTTACATTTTCAAACAGAGAAATGAGTCTTCCCCACAGATGTTCAAATGTCTTCTTTGAAAGGAGCCTTGCCCAGCCCATCAATTTAAGGAGGATGGGTCAGATGAGAGATGTAGTTGCATCACCTGGATTATACGGTGCATTTTTTTCTTTTATTTTTAAAACATATTTTTATTGATTTCAGAGAGGAATGGAGAGGGAGAGAGAGATAGAAATATCAATGATGAGAGAGAATCATTGATCAGCTGCCTCCTGCACTCCACACATTGGGGATCAAGCCCACAACCCGGGCATGTGTACTGACCAGGAATTGAACCGTGACTTCCTGGTTCATAGGTCGACGCTCAACCACTGAACCACACCAGCGGGGCATAAGAAGCATTTTTTTTCTAGAGTACTTAAATTCCTTGAGTTTCTCTCCAGGAAAATGTAGGGCGGCATTGCATTAAAACCAAATTCCTTATAAAGGTGGTGGATCAAATGCTGATCCAAGTCTGATCTAAGCGAGATGAGGGTGGAGGAGTGAAACCCTGGCGGTCAGCCTGTACCCCTCCCCCAGAATCCTATCTGTTTTCTGAGGATAAATCTGTGACATCACCAACTATCTTTCCACAATATCCCTCCGTCTTATACTGTCTCTGTGGTTGACTATATATTCAGTTTGTTTAGAATCTATTGAAAATTGAAAAATTAAGAAAAGTTGGAAACACCACAGGAAAGTGAGAAATTCTAAGAAAATGTAGCCTGGGTGGGTAGGATTTGCAGGATCACTCACCCTAACTTGATCTGGGCATGTTTAAACAACCTCGCTATTCCATTAATACATAATCATGCTTTCAAGTTCTTGGAATTTTGTTCTAGGTTTTTAGGAAATGCTCAAAGTAAAAATCAGTTGCATCCAGGCACAGGTGTGTGTGTGTGTGTGTGTGTGTGTGTGTGTGTGTGTGATATCAAACTAAATTGGTTAGCTGATGAAATACCCAACTCATGCTCCTAGCCATCACCAGAAGGTGGCCTGTGACGTAGCCAGTGTCCTCAGCCTGGGAGCTGCTATCTGTGCCGATGGAGTTGGAACAGCTGGAGGCCAGGGCCCAGGAATCTGCTTTCTCACCCAGTTTCCCATTCTGTTCTCATGCACAGAACTCTGAGTACCATTGGTCTATTGAGATGGGATTGTTACACTAGGACAAAAAGTGCATTTCCTGCTGCTCAGAACTGTTGGAGCCCGGTTTTGTTTCATTTTGTTGTTGAAATCCCATGCCGGGGGGTCAAGTTACTCATATTCCTTATTTTATTGCATAGGGTCATGGTCGCTTCCTGCGAAATGCCTCTTAATTTTATTTATGTATCCTCCCCCCCCCCACACACACACACACGCGCGCGCACGCAGACTGTTTTTAAATTCTCATTCCTCAGACCCACAGCAATCATTCTGAAATATTTAACGAGTATTCTTTGTTCCTGTATATTCATTCAAAAAAAAGT